TGGGATTTTCACAGCATATTCTGCACATCTCTGTGCATTCATCATTTGTTTGAAGCCAGCTCACCTCCTGCAACCACTTTTCCAAGAATATGCGCTTCTTTTGCGGTTCGGACTCCTTCTGTCATTTCTTTGGAGGTGGAGGAACACCAAAGTAATTGCTTAAAGGAGCTTGCTTCTTTGACATCTTTAAGAGTTCTAAACAAATGTCTGTCCTCCTCCAGAAAATCTAATGTACGCAAACATACATTGCAACTTATTATCTGGTGCGCATCTTTTATTTTGACAGCGAATGCGCACCTGCGGACCACTTATGTGCACCCCTATATATATATATATATATATGAAGATGTTAAAGCTAACTGGATTTGTTGGACTGTGAATGGGATCCAAACTAAGAAAAATTACTGTTTATCATCTTGAATCCAACATTATGTTACAACTGCAAACACTCCTCTTTACTGCCATTATATTTTATATTGTCAACATTCAGTGCCACTGTTTATTAACTTATTTATTACAAAAATATATATCTTTGAGAATGTAAAGATAAAAAAAACAAAACAAACTTGTGTGACAACATCTGTACTTGTGGACCTAAAAGGTACAGTATGTCCGTGGTTACTTTTGGCTTGTAAACCTTTAAAAGTTGAACTCACACTCTTACTTATCACACCTTAGTATGCAGACAGATTGTTTTTATAGTTTTTATTTAATTATAGGAGGAGCTAAAAAAAAGTAACTTTCATATCAATTCAAAATTAGAGTCAGATAACAAATGTAACACCTGTATTAAGCAGAAATGTTCTCAATGTTGTCTGCTGCTTTACAACTCAACTAAGTGCCAGTGTTTGCAGGTGTTCCTGTGTGTGTGTGTGTGTGTGTGTGTGTGTGTGTGTGTGCGCAAGCAGAAGAGCTCGGCCGTGCAGAGATGGAAGAAAAATGCACTTTTCTGCTTTGTGGAAGTTATGGTAACTGATTTAAAAAACAAAAACACAGGGAGAAATGGAAAAATTAAAACAACATTTTTTCTTCCACATGAATCACGTTTCATAGCCACAGGGTCTTTTTGGGGAGAGGGGCAAAAATTAGCTCGACTCCAGTGGCTACTATACTGAGTAAGCACTTTCTGGCTCCTAGAAGTCGTAGTTAGGGGACCACTTGGAATTACCAGGATTTCTGCATTGATTACTTGTGGGGTTTAGTTTCTGTAGCCAAAGTGAAAATTCCAGATAAACACAGATGTTAATAATGTCCATAGACCCTTGGCCCATAAGTGTTATTGGATACCCAAGTTGTCTAGTGTTTGATATCCATTATCATTCTTACTCAATGTTTTTTTGCTATAGTGATACATGAAGAAATGTTTTAGAAACTTTGATTTGGTGTTACTCCCAGTTTCATTTTTTTTCCTGCCAGGAAGAGACGAGGAACACTTTGGAATTTCATGTGCGTATCTCTGAGACTTTTTTTTGATTGAATCTCTTTTTTTGGGGGGGGGGGATTTTCAAAGTCCTTTAACCCACACCCTCTCATCTCCTTAACTGGAGAACCTTTGTCTTCAAGTAACTTTTAGAGTAGTTGTGAGCACAGAAGTGCAGTTAGGTTTTCCACCCTGGCACTGTGAGTGATTACTCTGTTCTGCTGAAAGTACAGTCATTTCTTTGTAACCACTTTATTCAGATTCTGTGCATCTATATTTGTGACCTAGATAAAGATCAGACCATGTTTCATGGAGAATCGATATAGAAATCCTTGTAATTCCAAAGGATTCACCAACTTTGTCTTGCAGCTGCAGAAAAATGGCACAATTTGATTTGAGGCAGACCCATTAATATGATGCAGTTCAGCACAACACATGTGTGGTTGTGCTCTGCATGATTTACATTTTCAAATGCTCAG